ATAGCAATATAATCCTGCCTCAAGAAACTAAAATAAACAACCTAACCTTACACCTAAAGCAATTAGAGAAAGAAGAACAAAAAATTCCCAAAGTTAGCAGAAGGAAAGAAATCATAAAGATAAGATCAGAAATAAATGAAAAAGAAATGGAGGAAACAATAGCAAAGATCAATAAAACTAAAAGCTGGTTCTTTGAGAAGATAAACAAAATTGATAAAGCATTAGCCAGACTCATCAAGAAAAAAAGGGAGAAGACTCAAATCAACAGAATTAGAAATAAAAAAGGAGAAGTAACAACTGATACTGCAGAAATACTAAGGATCATGAGAGATTATTACAAGCAACTCTATGTCAATAATATGGACAACCTGGAAGAAATGGACAAATTCTTAGAAAAGTACAACCTTCCGAGACTGAACCAGGAAGAAATAGAAAATATAAACAGACCAAACACAAGCACTGAAATTGAAACTGTGATTAAAAATCTTCCAACAAACAAAAGCCCAGGACCAGGTGGCTTCACAGGTGAATTCTATCAAACATTTAGAGAAAAGCTAACACTGATCCTTCTCAAACTCTTCCAAAATATAACAGAAGGAGGAACACTCCAAAAGTCATTCTATGAGGCCACCATCACCCTGATACCAAAACCAGACAAAGATGTCACAAAAAAAGAAAACTACAGGCCAATATTACTGATGACCATAGATGCAAAAATCCTCAACAAAATACTAACAAACAGAATCCAACAGCACATTAAAAGGATCAAACACCATGATCAAGTCGGGTTTATCCCAGGAATGCAAGGATTCTTCAATATATGCAAATCAATCAATGTGATACACCATATTAACAAACTGAAGGAGAAAAACCATATGATAATCTCGATAAATGCAGAAAAAGCTTTCGACAAAATTCAACACTCAATTATGATAAAAATTCTCCAGAAAGTAGGTATAGAGGGAACCTATCTCAACATAATAAAGGCCATATATGACAAACCCACAGCAAACATCATTCTCAATGGTGAAAAACTGAAACTATTTCCTCTAAGATCAGGAACAAGACAAGGTTGCCCACTCTCACCACTATTATTCAACATAGTTTTGGAACTTTTAGCCACAGCAATCAGAGAAGAAAAAGAAATAAAAGGAATACACATGGAAAAGAAGAAATAAAATTGTCACTGTTTGCAGATGACATGATACTATACATAGACAATCCTAAAGATGCTACCAGAAAACTACTAGAGCTAATCAATGAATTTGGTAGAGTAGCAGGATACAAAATTAATGTACAGAACTCTCTTGCATTCCTATACACTAATGATGTAAAATCTGAAAAAGAAATTAAGGAAACACTCCCATTTACCATTGCAACAAAAAGAATAAAATACCTAGGAATAGACTTACCTAAGGAGACAAAAAACCTGTATGCAGAAAACTATAAGACATTGATGAAAGAAATTAAAGATGATACAAACAGATGGAGAGATAAACCATGTTCTTGGATTGGAAGAATCAACATTGTGAAAATGACTATACTACCCAAAGCAATCTACAGATTCAATGCAATCCCTATCAAACTACAAATTTCAGTTTTCATAGAACTAGAACAAAAATTTCACAATTTGTGTGGAAACACAAAACACCTTGAATAGCCAAAGTGATCTTGAGAAAGAAAAACAGAGCTGGAGGAATCAGGCACCCTGACTTCAGACTATACTACAAAGCTACAGTGATCAAGACAGTATGGTACTGGCACAAAAACAGAAATATAACTCATTGGAACAGGATAGAAAGCCCAGAGATAAACCCATGCACCTATGGCCACCTTATCTTTGATAAAGAAGGCAAGAGTATACAATGGAGAAAAGACATCCTCTTCAATAAGTGGTGCTGGGAAAACTGGACAGCTACACGTAAAGGAATGAAATTAGACCACTCCCTAACACCATACACAAAAATAAACTCAAAATGTATTAAGGGGGCTTCCCTGGTGGTGCAGTGGTGGAGGGTCCGCCTGCCGATGCAGGGAACGCGGGTTCGTGCCCCCGTCCTGGAAGATCCTACATGCTGCGGAGTGGCTGGGCCCGTGAGCCATGGCCGCTGAGCCTGCGCGTCCGGAGCCTGTGCTCTGCAACGGGAGAGACCATAAAAGTGAGAGGCCCGCGTAACCCCAAAAAAAAAAAAAAAAAAAAAAAAGGATTAAAGACCCAAATGTAAGGCCAGACACTATCAAACTTTTAGAGGAAAACATAGGCAGAACACTCTATGACATAAATCACAGCAAGATCCTTTTTGACCCACCTCCTAGGGAAATGGAAATAAAAACAAAAATAAACAAATGGCACCTAATGAAATTTAAAAGCTCTTGCACAGCAAAGGAAACCATAAACAAGACCAAAAGACAACCCTCAGAATGAGAGAAAATATTTGCAAATGAAGCAACTGACAAAGGATTAATCTCCAAATTATACAACCAGCACATGCAGCTCAAAATCAAAAAAATAAACAAACCCAATCCAAAAAAGAGCAGAAGACCTAAATAGACATTTCTCCAAAGAAGATGTACAGATTGCCAACAAACACATGAAAGGATGCTCAACATCACTAATCATTAGAGAAATGCAAATCAAAACTACAATGAGGTATCACTTCACACCATTCAGAATGGCCAGCATCAAAAAATCTACAATCTACAAAAAATCTACAAAAAATCTACAATGCCGGAGAGGGTGTGGAGAAAAGGGAACCCTCTTGCACTGTTGGTGGGAATGTAAATTGATACAGCTACTATGGAGAACAGTATGGAGGTTCCTTACAAAACTAAAAATAGAACTACCATATGACCCAGCAATCCCACTACTGGGCATATACCCTGAGAAAACCATAATTCAACAAGTGTCATGTACCACAATGTTCATTGCAGCACTACTTACAATAGCCAGGACATGGAAGCAACCTAAGTATCCATTGACAGATGAATGGATAAAGAAGTTGTAGCACATATATACAAGGGACTATTACTCTGCCATAAAAAGAAACGAAATTGAGTTATTTATAGTGAGGTGGATGGACTTAGATCCTATCATACGAGTGGAATAAGTCAGAAAGAGAAAAAATACTGTATGCTAACACATATATATCGAATCTAAAAAAAAAAAAATGGTTCTGAGGAACCTAGGGGCAGGACAGGAATAAAAACGCAGATGTAGAGAATGAACTTGAGGACATGGGTAGGGGGAAGGGTAAGCTGGGATGAAGTGAGAGAGTGGCATGGACATATATACACTACCAAATGTAAAATAGATAGCTAGTAGGAAGCAGCTGCATAGCACAGGGAGATCAGCTTGGTGCTTTGTGACCACCTAGAGGGGTGGGATAAGGAGGGTGGGAGGGAGATGCAAGAGGGAGGGTATATGGGGATATATGTATGTATATAGCTGATTCACTTTGTTATACAGCAGAAACTAACACAACATCATAAAGCAATTATACTCCAATAAAAATGTTAAAAAAAAGATACATACACTGCAGTGTTCAAAGAAGCATTATTTACAATTGCCAAGATATGGAAGCCACCTAAGTGTCCATCGACAGATGAATGGATAAAGAATATGTGGTACATATATACAATAGAATATTACTCAGCCATAAAAGAGAATGAAATTTTGCCATTAGCAGCCATGTGGATGGACTTGGAGGTAATTATCCTTAGTGAAATAAGTCAGAGAACAACAAATACTGTATGATATCCTTATATGTGGAATCTAAAAAACACAACCAACTGGTGAATATAACTAAAAAGAAGCAGACTCAGAGATATGGAGAACAAACTAGTGGTTGCTGGTTGGAGAGGGGCAAGGTAGGGATGGGGAAGGGGAAGGCACACACTATTGGGTGTAAAATAGGCCACAAGGATGTACTGTACAGTATGGGGAATATAGCCAAAGTTTGTAATAACTGTAAATGGAGTGTAACGTTTAAAAATTGTATTAAAAAGAAAAAAAACAAAGAATACCCTCAAACCAACCGCAACAGTGCAAGAACAAAGTTCAGCGTGTGAGGCAGCATGAAGTGGTGACCAAATGCTCTTCCACACAGGTCCAGGAAATTACTGTGACAGGCACTGAGAAACTAGTGGTACCAGATGTGATTTTCAAAAAGAAATTGGTAATCTGGATTTGTCTGTAAATCTCCTGATTTTTAAATAAGGCAACTAATTCAAAATAAGAAACAAAACAAAACCTCAAAACACAAGCAAAAAAAAAAATGTGTGTGTGTGTGTGCATACCAAACAAAAACATAGCTGTAGGACCCACTGGACCATGGCTTCCATCTTGTGAGGGGACCTCTGGCTTAGGATAGAAAGGTGGTGTGGAGGATCACTTCATATATTCCTTGCATCTTTTGGGGCTCTCTGGGAATCTCTCCTAAATGCTAGGAAGTGGAAGGGTCATCAAAGGTTTTATAGGTTGTCAGTGTTTGTTGAGTTGGCCTTGCTAAATTGGACAATATGGAGACAGTGTAACATGTTAAATATTTTATTCACATTGTTTACAAACTGTGTCCACCTGGAAAACACATGAATCTAAAAAATAAACTATTTTATAGTCATTCACATTTTTTAAAAACAAGTTACTTTTGACGTGAAACTCTAAGATGGAGGCCTTCAGCCTGTATTGTCGTTCAGTGCCTCGTCACATGAGGCTTCCTGCTCTGGGGAAGGAGTTCTAGGGGCAGTCCACCCAGCTGGAGGTCGCTAATGGCTCACCTACCAGTGACTGATGAGAAAATGTCAGTGCATACTTTAACTTGTGAACATTCACTGGTGTATATCCAACGTCGCTAATTTTGTCAAGGAAATATGCATTTTAGAGCTTGCGTACTCACCGGGTGGGAAGACAAAACGAGAGGCTCATAATTTAATTGGCCATTACAGAGCCATCAAGACATTCCCAGTTCTATAAAGGTGTAACGTCTTGCCCACAGACAGAATCAATGAATTACGATTTTATTGTGTTGAGAACTTGAATCATAAAACAGAGGTGATTTGGAAATTGATGTAAGCGTCTATCGACTCTTTGCACATCTGATGCCTCCCACCTAGGAGAACAGGGGGAACACACTCAGCAAGAATTAAGAATGTGCCTAATTTTGTGTTACTCCAGAAGGATGGCCATGGGAGTTTTGCTGAGTGGCTAAAAGATGTTCTGGTTAAGAAACTCGCTATTAGCCTGTGCTAAGTCCAATTACGTACCAGCTTGACGGCTTAGCTCCTTTACTAATTAAGAAACTTTTCTATGGAATTTGACTTTAACAATTTAAAATCTACAGTATGTTTGTCTTACCCACATCTCACCCCGTCCTACTATATTAACTACAAACTAATCACTTCTTTTTTGCTTTGTGAGTTGCCACAGTTAACTATGTGAAAACGTTTGAGCCTTTGGAATGGGAGCACCGGATGAGCCTCTAATGGCAGAATTGGATCCTTTTTCTCTGAGCAGCAGCAATGGCACAGGGCATTGTGGTTCTGCAACTCTTCATTAGGGAAGTGATGTTTGATCCGGGTACCACAAAAGATCATCCCCTCCTCCCCTCGGGTAAAAAAAAAAAAAAAAAGGAATTTCTTAAGGGTTGCTGTCATCACCCCCAAGTAGACAACAACTCTGAATCCAAATGTAAGCTGAGATGTGGAGAAATTTTATCAGCACGTTTGCAGGCTTTTAAAAGAGTGAACTTTCAAGGTCTATTGCAATCTATTGTTTTAAAAGACAGAAATCCATAAAATGAGCTTGATGATGGAGGAGATCATAGCTTGTCTTCCTGCCACCCGTGTGCATTTTTTCCAAATTTGTATACTAATCTTCGGTCGACCCGTTCCAGAATTCCTGTTTTATAGTAGTACCTGTGAAAGACAGCAGAAGAGGGACGTGAGGAGGGTTCATACCCTGGGAAAACAACAGTGCATAAACACGTTCCTCTTTCCTCTCAGGTGACAGGCTGGTCTTTGGTTACCCTGGTATTTTCACACCCTCTTATCAACTTACACTTAAACCTTTCCCAGTCATCTTGAAGAGCGAACCTCACCACATCTGGTTCAAAATGTGTGTGTGTGTGTGTGTGTGTGTGTGTGTGTGTGTGTGTGTGTGTGATAGCCTGGCTTCAGAGTGATCTCTGGGGAACACTGCCAAGAATGGAAAGGACAGCGTGTCAGTTTACAAACCCTAATCCCACCTGTACCTAAGAGCCGAAGTGTTGTCTCATGACACTTTTTATATAACTCTGCCTGAAGGCTCACGGCATTTCATGCTGTTCACTTACCTCAGAGCTCTGCTCAACTTTTCATACGTCATTCTGTCATTTCTCTTCCTTTGTCCCCACATCTTTGCCAGGGCTTCTGATTTAACTACCCGAAAAATACCTTGTTCCCTATCTTCCCATTCCAAAATGCCACAGTTTTCCTCAGGAGATAGAAGCAGGTCTCTCACAAATTCCCACAGGTGAGAGCTCTGGAGGCCTTTAGGGAAGGAAAAAAAGTTAGCTAAAAACTAAAACAGAAAAATTGAAGAGTTGTACAACTTCTCATGAACCCATGAGAAATGCTCCTTCATGGTTATTTCCCAAAGTGATGACCGAGCGTTCTACTTAGAACCATACCTAGCTGTGAAATGTCTTCTTCTACTGGGAACCATACCTAGCTGTGAAATGTCCTCTTCTACTAAAGTAATTACAACACACACACAGAGACATCCTATTTACATCGACCAGCAACACTGGCTCACGAACTTTCCCTGCTCGATGGAACTACCAACTAATTCTACGGAATTAATGAAATGACAGTCGAATGACGTTTCCTTTCTTCTTTCTGAAAAGCAGTGTGGTTGTACTGAGATCCCATAGCTACAACTGTCTGGCTGGACTAATCCTGCCATTATGTTTTGCATGAAAAACTGGTATTTCTCTTGTTCCATTGTATCATAGTTAAGACTTGCTCTGGAGCCTGGCTGGCTGGGTTTGGGTCCTGAATTCACCTCTTCTAGCTCTGTAACCAAATCTCTCTAGTTATCTTCTCTCTAAAATGGGTTAGTAAGTGATAAATGGAATATTTATAAATGGAATGGAATATTTACAAATGGAATATTTCCTGCCATATCAATACACAAAGGATGGCACAGTCATCAATGATTGCAACCCTCCAACGTGAGCCGGTGAGCCCTGAGGCGACTCAGGGCTGAAAAGGATCCCTGCCATCTAGCAGCCATCAGACTGCAGCCACTCCCTAAGGCGAGCCCTGAGGAAACTCAGGATGTGAAAATACAGGATACTGGCCCCGGATAGCTGAGGTGCATATCAAAGGAATGATTTCACTGAGCCCAGACTCTTGCATCTTCCCATACCTAGAAAAGCGCTGAATTCTTTAAGTTGAGACATTTGGTTGTCTTTAATTAACAATAATCTTTATGACAGACTCTAGGTCCATCCACCTCACTACAAATAACTCAATTTCATTTCTCTTTATGGCTAATATTCCATTGTATATATGTACCACATCTTCTTTATCCACTCATCTGTCGATGGACACTTAGGTTGCTTCCATGTCCTGGCTATTGTAAATAGAGCTGCAATGAACATTGTGGTACATGACTCTTTTTGAATTATGGTTTTCTCAGGGGATATGCCCAGTAATAAAGCAGAAACTAACACACCATTGTAAAGCAATTATACTCCAATGAAGATGTTAGAAAAACAAAAAAGAAAAATCAATAATCTTCTGACGTTCCGATTACCTGCTCTTTGCTGCAAAACTCCTGTATCTCCTGGCTCCTCCCCTCGCCTCTTTGGGGCAGTTTCTCAGAGTTACCTGAACCGCTGTCTCCTGGGCTGCAGTCCTCATTTTGCCCCCCCAAAACTTAACTCGCAACTCCCATGTTGTGCATTTTTTTAAGTCAACATAAGAGTACCTACCTCATAACACAGGTTAGAGGATTATGATTTAATACATGTTAAATGGCTAGAACCAAGCCCAGCAGGCTCGACCCTGTCCTGGGTAGATCTTAGTTCTGGGAAAGCTCACAGAATTGCCAACTCATGGGGTTTCTTTAGTATCATCTCTGAGTACTTCAGTGAGAAGGATTCACAGTAGACCAGGAGAAACAAACCCTTATTCAGAAATTTAACGTGGTTAGAACATTACTTTAATTCTCCTGATACCATTTCCAAGTCAAAAGAAAGAAATTGGATTTTGATAACACTTATAACGGTAATCATCAATTTCTCTGCTATGTTCTTTGGGAAATAACGGGACTCACTCAAACACGGAGTCTCAAAGCTTATTAAAGTAGATTACTTTGTCTCATGAATGGTTTTAAGAAATTACCAATGACAGATGGCATCTCTTACACTTACTTGTTCGACTATGACTGTGACAGTCTTGACTTTTGATGCCACTTGTTTTCAAGCAACTGGAAACAGCGTCTGCAACAGAGTGATTTACAGCTGTAGGAAGGAAGCTGGAGGCTGCGTTCCGACCTCAAATCACACCAAATGGGCAACTATTAATTGAACACCTTTGTGGTAGGAGACAGCGTGCTGGGCTCTTTGGGAATAATTAGTAGGTTTAAGGAGCGTTTGTATTCAACACTGGGGCCCTACTGTGTGCCAAGTTCCGGGCTCTGAGCTGGAGATAGAAAGTGAACAACACAAACTTGGTCCCTGCTCACCTGGAGGTTAAGGACTATTGGGCAAGGAAAACACAAGTGAAACACAAATCGCCATTAGTTAAGTGTTATGAAGGAAGGAGGCCTTAGATAGAGAACGAGGCGGAGGAAAGCACCTGCTGTAGATGGGGTGGCCAGGGCGAGTCTCCTGGACGGGAGACACTCACGCTGATGTCAGGAGGTGGGAGGGTGTCCCAGAGGGAAAGAGCAGCATGTGCAAAGCCAAGGGTGGCGACCAGGCAGGCCCGTGGGGTGCCCAGGCGTGGCGGTAGGGGCCCCGCGCTGCCGGCAGGTACGTGGGCACATGGTAAGGATGTGGGATTTTTTCTTTTTTTTTTTTGGTGGTACGCGGGCCTCTCACTGCTGTGGCCTCTCCCGTTGCGGAGCACAGGCTCCGGACGCGCAGGCTCAGCGGCCATGGCTCATGGGCCCAGCCGCTCCGCGGCATGTGGGATCTTCCCGGACTGGGGCACGAACCCGCGTCTCCTGCATCGGCAGGCAGACTCTCAACCACTGCGCCACCAGGGAAGCCCAGGACGTGGGATTTTATTCAAAGAGTAAAGCGAAGACTTAGGACTTTAACAAGGTCTACTTTTTAAGAAGATCCCTCTGGCTAGTGTGTGGAGAACAGACTAGAAGGGACACAGGTAAAAGCAAAGAGAGTAGAGCTTATGAAGAGCAGAAAGCAAGGCGTGACCTCAAGGCCGAGTTAAACTAGAAATCACACTGTAAGTCTGAGACACTCACGTTGCTGCAAAGTGTATATGATTAAAAAGTAAAAGGTGGTACCAGATCACCCCTCCCTGCCCCCACATCACTTGCTCAGCCCGCTCCAGCCACACTGGCCTCCCGGCTCCTTCTGAAACTCACGGGCACATCCTGCCTTGGGGCACTTGCTCCCTTTGCCCTCAGTGCTCTTCCCTTGGATGTCCAGGGGCTCACGCCCTCATCTCCATCTTCGCTCAAAGTCACCTTCTCAGCGAGGCCTTCTCTGACTGCCTGAGCTGGAATTGCACACGCTCACCCTACTCAACACTCCATGTGCTAGTTTTATTTTTTGCTGTCATATTCATCACCATGGAACATATTATATATTTATTTATTTTGCTCACTGGCTGACTTTTCCTACTAGAGGGCAGGGATCTGTGTTCCCACCTGTATCCCCCAGCACCTAGCACAGTGCTGGGCATATAGTAGGTGCTCAGTAAGTATTGTGGAGCGGCCACCATGCTGCACTCTACTCACCTTCCCTGCTGTAGGGACATGATGCTATAAATACTGAATGACAGAATAAGTATGCTGTCCATGGAGGGAATGGTGTCCTGTGTACCACACCACTGCCCAGGAGGGGCCTGTCTCAGTGCCAGTGGGTCTTGTAACTCCCTGGTGTGACATCCTGCAGTGGTACCTTGTGGTCTCCCGCGCAGAGGCTGCCACGTTAGTCAGGCCCTTCACACATGGACCTCCACCCAGTTCTCCAGGCTTATCCCTTGCTGCTCCCCAACATCGTCCCTCCTTTGGGTCAGATGGTCCCAATGGGGCTTGACTTTCTCCTGCTTCCTTTGCACATGCTTCCCGCTCCCTACTTCCACCCAGCTGAACCCACTCTCATAAAACCTCATCAGGAAGTCTTCTCGGAACTCACCCTCTGGGTTAGAGCCCTCTCTGTCCCATAGCACCTGCGTGTTCCTCAGTGTTTCAGCATTGGTCCCTTTCTACCTCTACCGTAGAGGTCCATCTCGTCCGTTGTTCATGTGTAGTAACAGCTGATATTAAAGGAGCGCTTACTAAGTGCCAAGTGCTTGAAAGGGCTTCACATACAGTATCTCATTTAATACCTGCCACGACCCTGTGTGGTATAATCGCTATTTCCATTTATTGAGGAGCAACTGAGGCCCACAGAGTTTATGAATTTCATCCAGAGAGGTGGAGCCAGGACTTGAACCCAGAGCAGCTCCGTTTTAAAGCAGATGTTCACAATTTCTGCTTCAGCATGTCTTTCATGGCAGGTGTTCAATAGATACTTAAAGAATAATTATTAAAGTGTGTTGAGTGTTTGCTACTGCCAGGTGCACACCCAATCTCGCCCACCCTTATGATGCACGTTTCTTACTCTCCTACTTTACGTATAAGAAAACAGAGGTGTCGAGTGGCTGGCGTCTCCCTGGAGGTCCTTCACTCACGGGCTCACAAGTGCTGAGACACAGTGTACTCTCTGCAGCAGGCACGGGACAGACATCACGAAACAGGTCCCAGGCTCTCCTCTCAGGGGTCTTGCACCCAAGTGGGAAGGAATGTCCAGTGAACAAACACGGCCTATTTCAGTTGGTGATAAATGCCATGGAGAGGAATGCAGCGGCGTGGGAGAATAGAGGTCATGGTGAAGGGGCTGAGTGATCTTGCAATTGTAATAAGAGTGAACAGACAAAGCTCTCGGACAAGAAGATGCCTGAGCGGAATGGAGCGAGCCCTGGCGATGTCTGGGGAGCACGATCCAGGTCATGTGCCTGCCCGACGTCGGAGCTGAGATCGCATGTGAACAGTCCGGCATCAGGGCCCCCAGCCCTAATAACTGCCGCGCATCATTCTCTGGAACAAACAATGACACGAATGCGTGACTTCAACTCTCGGGGTCCCTTCGGCCTCTCCTCCACCCTTTCCTACATTACAGCCTGGAATTGTACTGATGTGGGAAAACGGGCCCATGCATACGGGCCAAACCACAGTGAATGCTCAGGTGAGATCAGCTGACAGTGGGGTTGCCGCCAGGTAGAGAGAGGTGAATGCAGGTGAGCAGGTGAGCAGGGCTGATGGTCGGTTGATCAAGACCGAGAAAGGGTTCTGCCCTCCTATCTGATCCAATGTCACGCTCTGCGGCATCACCTGCAGAGAAGACCTGGCCACTGTTTTAATTTAATCTTTTAAGAAGAGAGACAACAAATGCAGTCATCAAGACAAACACAGGTGAATTATTAACTGGTGACTAGACAACAAGCTTTCTCTGAAATGCCAAAGTGGCAAGACATGGAAGAGTCACCCTTTTAATTTCGATGCTTTCTCCGCGTGCTTTGGATGGAAGAGATTTGGCTTGATGAGATGAACACAGGATGGGTCAGCACGAGGCAGGGCTGTGGGGGTGGTGGGAGTTTCCCCTTGTGGGTCTTGCCAGAGATAGATAACCCTGTTTTATCTGTTCCTACTCCTCAGTGGTGGCTTTGAGGGTAGTCACGGCTCGGCTTGGCTGGAGGCCTTGCTTGGCGGGTGGGGGGGTTAGGGTGTTAGTGGGGGCACAGGGGCTGAAGCCATCAGTGCGTGGCCACGTTGAGGCAGCTTCCCAGATCCAAACGTCCCCAAGGTCAGTCTGAGGTGGTGGCGGCAGCAGTACCCTGAGCCCCGCCCCAAACTTCTCTCTGGAGTTCCACGGTGCTCTGGGGGGCAGCTCCCTGTCTCACAACGATCTTCATCTTCAATGTGCCCCTGCAGCTGTGCCTGCCGCAGGGCGAGTGGGGACATGGCCCGGGCTCTCTGCTGTCTGTGGGATTTGGAGAGGTTTGGCTGCCTTGAAACTGGAGTCTGTTAAAATGTGGCCAAAGGATATGTTCTCAGTCGTTGGTTGAAATCCTGGTCCGCTGTCCTCCAGAAGCTGGGTGGAGGCTGGCGTGGCAGTTTCTCAATCGAGCTCATCACACGCACGTCCCCATGATGCTAGCAGTCCAGCCATAGAGCCTGCACCCCGTGCCAGGAGCCGGGGATGCCCAGCAGCAAAGCCAGGCCTGTAGGCTTTGTCCTCTGGTGCTTCTGCGGTGGAGGTGGGGAGGGTGTGGAGAGGAGAGATCAAGTGCAGAGGGGCTGGGGTACTTCACTTGGGCCAGTTCTGATGGTTTCCTAGCTTGTCGGGCCTGGGCCCCTTCAGCAGGTACTAAGTTGAAAATCTCCTGTTCTCTGAACCATTGTGGAGCTGGGCCCAGACCCAGAGGAGTCCTGAGTCTTAGGTCTCAACTGAGTGGACAGCAGAGTGAACAGCAGGGTCTGGGAGCGTGCGTGCATGTGTGCGTGCACCTGTGGGCATGTGGTGAAGGACACAGCATATAAGAGCATAGACTTTGAGAAGATGAGTTGGAATCTCTGCTCGGCATGGACTTATAACTTGTAACTTGTGAGTTACAGCACCTCCAGTTTCCTCAGATACAAATGGGGATAACATTACGATCTAGCAAAGTTATCATGAGGATTAAATAAGTTAATGTAGGTAGAATACTTGGCCTGGCACCGCGCTGGGCACATAGTAAGGGCTTCACAAACACTAACAGTAGCTATTAACCTTATAGCGATTTAAGATGAATGGGAACACTGCTTGAAGCCCCAGGAGGCTACTTTGTCCTAGTTGGCCAGGCCTGGGAGCCAGGACCTTGGCGTGGGTCTCAGTAACTAAGAGCAATCATCACCATCATCATCTTTAAAAAATGAAAGCTCCAAAGTTCCCTTTCTTAAACCTTCTCCATCTGCAGAAGTGAAACCGTGAGTGTTAATTTTCAGAATCAACAAGGCCGTCTGAGATCCTCCATTACCTTATAATTATAAACGTGACCTGCTTAGTGAGCTCAGATTCTTTGTAGACATTATCAACCCCAAGGCCTCTAATGGTTAGTAATTATGATTATTATTGCTAAAGGTACCAGTATTTGGAGCACGCTGCTGGCACAGGCCAGGCGCTTTGTATGTACTGTTACCTGAACTCCTCACAACCCAGCGGGTGTCTCACCACTTTATAGACAAGGAAACTGAGCCTGGGGGAGGTTAAGGAAGCCACAGACTTGCTCTGTCCACCGTGTTTCTCCTGCCATCTTCTAGCCTTTACTGTTTCAGGTCATCAGACGTTGAGTGTGGTCCCACAAGAGCATCATTCAAGCCCATGTGCCCAACAATAGCCTCAACACGGCCTCGGGCAGCTTGACCTCAGTTACTCACAGTCTTTGATGGTGGCCTTGGTCTCTTCAGGGTCATTAAAAAAGGAGTAACCTGGAAAAGAAAAAGAAATCCGCAAACCATGGCATACAATCCTGCTTTCCCCAGCCAGGCCACGAGGGGAGGTACTGGGGAGAAGGGAAGCCACTGTGCCCTTTGCAGGGTACTTTTATTTCAGAAGGAACCTTGGAGACCACCTGGCCTTTATAGGGCCACCCTGAAGCCACCCCTGAGAGATGTAATCTCCTTGGTTTTTTTTTTTTTTTTTTTGGCTGCCCTGCGAGGCTTGTGGGATCTTAGTTCCCTGATCAGGGACCGAACCAGGCCCCGGCAGTGAAAGCACCGGGTCCTAACTACTGGACCACCGAGGAATTCCTCAATCTCCTTGTTTTTAAAGGCCACCTGGAGAGAGCCCTGGGCCACGCATCCCAGCAGCTTCTAGGCTTTTCTGAGTGGGCACTGGGAGTGAGTTCTGGCTTGGGATCAGGAGGCCTGGGTTCTGAGCTGGGCCGAATCACTGACCCCCGTGTAGACTTGCCCAGTCACCCTGTCTCCGGGCTCGTGTTCCTTACTGGCAACGTGTGACAGAAACACCCTTGCCCTCCCTGTTGGCTCTCGGAGTCTATGATCTGGGATGTGATCTCTAATCCTTGGGGATTTGAATGCCTGTTACATGCGGGTCAAAGAGAAAAATGGACACGGAAGGCTGCAAGAAATGCAGAACCCGACATGAGGATTTAAAGGAGTCTGGAGACGGTCGGGGCCTTGGTGGTCTCTGAAGAGTGGGGCGAATCAAGAGTTTCAGATCACATTTTCACGTAGCAGCACAGGCCAAAGGACACCTGCTTTCTAACTTGGCGTCCAATGTGAGGACTAGTTTCCATTTACTGAGAAGACAGGAACAGAGCAGAGTTGGGACTTGATTCCTAGGGCCGCTGGTTCTAGGAAGGATTGGTTCTGGTCAGCCACGCACTCTCTTCCCTCCTCCCGAGAACAGGAGCGGGTGACGGGGGATCTTCCTCTCCTGTGCCGGGAGAGTCTGCCCTCTGCCCTGCACCTCTCCGGCCGACTTCGCCTTCCAGCGACCAGGGTCTTCATGCTTCAGGGCCCTTCAATCCTACTGCAACACCTGCTGAGCCAGACAGCACGCTGGGCCTAGAGCCCCCTTTAACTCCTCTCCCTGCTAAAACTTGTTCTGTGTCATTTTCTTCCAGAGCCCTCATCTATGGGGTAATATAAGGCCTAAACTGGGTAATAACTAGTTAACATACAATTTATTGTCCCAACAGGGACACTTTTGAGAATGAAAGACAGGATAATGGTTGAAGACACCGTGTCCTGGGCAAATTGGGACACTGGAAACTTTGGTCACAATACATGTATTTCAATCACTGTATACATTCTGGCCTGAGGAACATTAAAGGAGGAATTTGAGGACAGAGCAGGTTGATGGAGTAGATCATCTTACTGATCAACAGGATAACTGCCCTGGCCCATAGAGTCCCTGAAAGTCCACCATTGGAGGTAGCTTGGTGACTCTAGGGATTCCTTAGAATAAGAAGAGGCAACTTGTGGCCTGCTTAAAGAAACAGTTGGATTTTAGCTTATTTGTTCTGCACAGACTTTGAGGTAATGGGACCAGGGATAGGTATTTTTTGATGTAACAGTTGCCAGGAATGGAAGTGCCCGAGGTGGGAGATCCCAGCACAGGGACTGCTGGGCCTGAAGACCAAACGTGATTGACTTGACGTTCTGCTGAGGCTGGCGGTACCAGGCTGAATCTTTTCTCAGGATGGAATACTCATCTCTGTGGCCCTGGGGTTCTCGTGCAAGGCTGTCCCCTTGGGATGGTTCTGAATGGAGCCCCCAGCTCCTCCCTGAGCCTCTGTGATTTGCTCAGACTTGCCTCCTTTCAGGGAAGGCCTGCTGAGTGGAAGCCACTGCTCCTGGCAGGTCTCTGTCACTGGCGATAATCAAGCAGAGACTGGATAACAGTGGACAGCAGGTCTGTTTGTCCCTTCCTCACCCCAGGGCGCTATGGCTCCCAGGGCAGAAACCAAGCAGTGCCTGAGAGCCCCCATCCTTAGTTTTCCTGCTTTCAGGCACCCATGATGGGGGAGATCAAGGGGAGGGCAAAGAATCATAGAGCTGGAAGGTACTCTGTGGGTTTCCGCCCAAATAGGAATCCCTGCCACGGCACCGCCGGGGGCTATTAGATTGCTTGCTTATCTCCAGTGACGGGGAGCTTCCTACCTTAGGTATCTTTTGAAGCCGCCTTTTAATTAATTAATTAATTAAAGATTTTTTTTGATGGGGACCATTTTTTAAAAGCTTTTATTGAATTTGTTACAATAGTGCCTCTGTTTTATGTTTCAGTTTTTTGGCTGCGAGGCACGTGGGATCCTAGCTCCCCGACCAGGGATCGAACCCATACCCCCTGCATTGGAAGGCGAAGTTTTAACCACTGGACCACTAGGCAAGTCCCCTGAAGCTGCCTTTTTAAAAGAAGGTGCTAACTTTTAGAAAGGTCTTTCTTAAAATTGAGCTGAGATGTGTTTCTTTATTTTTTAAAATTTCTGCCTCTTGGTTATATTCATGATGACAAAAACAGTTGCCATTCATTGTATTTGCGTCCGTATTTGCTGTGCTAGATGATGTGTCACTGAATCCTGTCAAGAAGCCCGGGGAGGTGTGTACCATAACCCCACCAGACAGGCGAGACAGTGGAGATTCAGAGAGGTTAAGCCATTTGCCAGAGGTCCTGCGGCTCCGAAGTGTGAGAGCCAGGGTTGGAGCAAAGGTCTTTCTGATCTCACAGTCCTTGCTTTGTACTGACTTTCCATGAAGCAGCCCTGCTGACCTTGGAGAAGTCACTTAACCATTCAGGACCTCAGCTCCTTTCTCTGTGATATGGGGATACAGAATTGTATGTTCTCAAAAAATGCTTCCGGGTTTAGAAAACCTGTCCAGCCACATTCTACTCTTGCAGGGCATGTTGCTGTTAAATAATGCTACTGGGGCCACCTTGCGGCCATTCGATCCCTGACCACTAGGAATGTGATAAAAGGAAATGGCAATTAGTTGGACTCCTCTGGAAACAGGGAAGGGAAAGGGTCTAGTTAATTTTCTTCTCCTTCTGCTTAATAAAATGTCAAGCAGAAGCCTCCTCTTTTTGTCCACCCTTTATGGTTAACAATCTTTACGAACATAATAGTTTGTTGTATCAGCCTGGTTCCTGGGCGGTCCTTGAACGTGTTTTAGTTTTCTTTTTCTTTCTTTCTTCTTCTTTTTTTAAAAAACTGTACTCAGCTTGCTTCCTTGTAACTCACCCCGTTTTACCTCCAATCTCTGATTCTAGCATGCTAGAGCTTCTGGGTACAGAAAGGTCTGGTTAGCAGGGGATTTGGTTTCACAGAGAGTTGCAGCTAATAAAATTTCGCCATGTGAGTCCTATGGTAGGGAAGGACCTCCGAGGTCATTTGGTCCCAACACCGGGTCCCTGTCCTCAAAGCCCAGCCCTCTGGGCACTGACCTTGTGAGCGCATGCTCTGGAGGATGAAGTACAGGTACTCCCCGCAGACACCAGCTGCCTCGATGAACTCCTCCTGTGTCATACTGCACAGCTGCAGGCCGCTGACGTTGAAGTGGCAGAAGGAGATGCAGTTGGCATCCAGCTTATACTGGTCGCAGCAGAACTGGAGCCATTCCCAGACGTGGCGCTTCGTCCAGTACTCAGGGTGGACAGACGGCCAGTAGGAGTCACAGGCTGCACCAGGAAGAGACAAGTGAGGGATGACAGCCAGGAGAGGATAAGAAGTCCCTCAAAGGAGGCTCTAGTTTTACTAACATCCTCATCCTCTGTCCAATGAGTTGAAGGGGCCTCCAGCCCTGGGTTGTTCTGCTGGGGTCCTGGTCACCTTCTGTCCTGAAGCGAAAACCAGAGGGGACTGGATCCTACGAGTGGCCTTACTGGCAGAAGAGGGAATGACGGGGCGAGAGACCTGGTCCTGGCTAGGGAGCTCCTTGAAACAGGGAGACTAGGGGAGAAGGAAAGAAAAAGTCCCTTCAGGTATTTGGTTTCAGACAACAGGACATCAAGAGCATAGCCTTTAGAGCCTGACAGGTCTGGGTTCAAATCCTGGTTCTGCTGCTTTCAACTTGGACAAGATCCATAGACATTTAAGCCTCAGTTTCCTCATCTGTAAAATGGGGATAATATGCTCCACTCACAGGGCTGTTCTGGAGTTTGTGGCTAACACCTATAAACTATATGGTGCATAGAAAGTTATCAATCAATTCAATACTTATTATTGGATTGGCCAAAAAGTTCATTCGGGTTTTTCCACACCATCTTACAGAAAAACCTCAACGAAATTTTTGGTCAACCAAAACAAATGCCTGTGGTGTGTGCCAGGCACCATCCAAGGCTGATCTGATTCCCTCTGCTGTTACGAAAAGCTGACCAGCACTGGCTATAGATTTGTGTGCTGCCCCTGGCCATCTTGTGCTGAGGGCCTTGGGCTGCTGAAATGTTGCCCAAGCATCTGGCAGACCTTGGATGACCAGAGCACGCTCCTCCAGGGGAAGGGGGAGGTGGAAGCGTTGGTTGCATTGTTGTTCTTGTGTTTTTGGTGCTGTTTTGAGGAATTTCTATCCAGAGGGCAGATTCCCTTCACTCCTTAGTGAAGACCCCTACGCCCCAGACAGAGGTGTGTGCCATCCTGTCTGGGAGGCTGAGAGGAGGCTGTGCCTAACCCAGGGGCAGAGATGGGTGCTCAACAGACTGTCCCAATGCCAGGAGAAACCAAAAGGGTGGCAGATCTGCTATGGAAGATGTGAGGTACCAGGTCCTTGGTCAGGTACTTTGACATAAACAATTCTTGCCATTGCCATTGTACTCATTCATTCATTCATTCATTCAAAAAGCTTCAGTTTCCTCATCAGTAAAATGGGGACAATGATAGCACCTACATCATAGGGTTGGTCTGTGGATTAAATGAGTTAATACATGTAAAAGTATTTAGGGTACTTAGGACAGAGTCTAGAAGATTACCACTGAATACCTTCTATTTGTGAAGCAACAAATTTTCATCTGAGAATTCATGATGAATGGGAGGTTTGGTCCCTGTCCCCCAGGAGGTCACAGATGAGGAGACTGAAGGTCATGGAGGTCTTGCCCAAGATCCCACAGCCAGTGTGGGGTAGAGGTGGGATGTGAACCCCAGTCTGAACTTGAAAGCCATTACTCTTTCCGTTCCATCATGCTGGTCCTCAGAGGTCAGCACAGAGAAGAGATCAGACAGTGGAGGCAGACACAGAGCCAGAGAGAAGGAGAAGGGCTGAGGAGAAAGGCAGGGAGCAGAGGCAGGCAGGGGTGACTGGCTTAGGCTGTGTGGACGACAGAAAGTGTGTCTCACGAGTTACACCCCACGGCGCACGGCAGCGAGGCTGTTATGATTCCCCCTTTAAATGCTGCATTGGCTGCCCCTGTCCCCAAAGGAAATGTGGCGCTTCTAGTCCCAGGCGGGAGATGGCTTCTCTGCCCCTAAGCACCCCCTGTGTATTGGCCAGGCTGCTATATGCCCTGATCTACATCAGCTCTACTTTCGATCTCCCCCTAAAACATAGAGGCCTTCCAGAAATCTCTTTTCCCACCATGAAGTGGATTGAGGTCAAACTTGAACACTAGGTTTGCTGTAGACTGAGTCCTTGGACTTTTTAATCAATAGAAATTGATAAGAGGCAGATGAGGAATTCAGGCAAGGCTTTCTTGGGACTCGTGCTGCAGCACGAGGGAGTGAGAACAAGAAACAGACGTCCTTGCTTGATCCCCGAGGAGGGTCAACCCGGTCCCTTAAACGGGGGGAGGGTGGGGCGAATTGGTGGGTCAGGCGGGAGGGGCGGCTTGGTGGCCTGCCCGCCCCCTTGGTGGAGCTGAGCGCAGGCATCCCGCACAGGACCCTGCTTTTGCTTTGGCGCCTCAGAAGTGGCAGTTGGATTTTGGCCTTTTTGTATCTTATTGTTCATCATTTGCCCCAACTGCACGTACCTGCAGTTATTTTTAGTCCCTCATAATGTCTTTCGTTGGTATTTTGTTGTTGGAGGACTCGTTTGTCCAGGTGCCAGCACTGCCACAAAAGGTCCCAGGTCCCAGATCTCAGGTTTGTTTAAATTTAGGGTTTTAATCAGAATTCTATATGTGTGTGAGTCAAAGAGTTGATATCCGGCCAGGATGGCGGAGGTTGATGTTGTGGCCTCTACCTGCTGTTTGAGGAGGGGCCCCCATCAGCCGCTGGGGGTGCCAGGGTCTCCTGGGAACACCTGGCGGCCCTTCCCCCTTCTGGCCTGTGCTCTCACGTGCCGAGTTCTGGCTGGAGTAAACCCGGGGCCTCCACTTCCCTGGTATTCCCACGAGAGATGTTTATGAGCCTTGAAATTCTTCCTCCCTGGGTCCTGAGCTGAGCCCCGCCGGAGATGCCTATCGGGGTGCTGCTCTTTCAGGGCACACTTCATTTCTTTCCATGGAGAGCGTGCGCCAAGTCTCCGAGCCCCTCCCCTCTCTCTTCCACCCCCAAGTCATTTTCTTTGGCCCTGGGAGATGGCCACGGCCATGTTGTTTCTGGAGGCCAGCGGGGGCGTAAGAGATTCGGAGACGTGTCACTGACCCTGGGAAGGTGTCGCTGGCGCAGCCTCCGTCCCCTCGACTCGCTCTCCTCGGCAGCTTCCCCGCAGAGCAGGCTTCGTGTGCGGCTCGGGCCCGCCCCACGGGGAGGCCAGAGCCAGGGCCGAGCACGGCAGGCTCTCCTCGCCAGCGGAGTCCTTCCCGAGCGCGAGCAAAGTAGCTGTTCTCGGCCAGGTGGAGGGCGAAGCGTCAGCACAGAGGGAAGCCTCTTGGCTGTGGTGTGGTTCCACGGTCCTGATCCCACAGGGGTGAGGAAGGCCTCCCCCCCCCACACCGCCCCTGCCCTCCCGCAGCATTGCCCCCAGCTCAAGTGCTTTGCACAGGCGCCTCTGGTCACCTAGGGTGCGGTCCCCACCTGTCCTCTAAGTAATTGCTGCTCGTCCTCAAGACCCAGCTCACTGCCCCTGTCAGGAAGGCTTGCTGTCCCACAGGGGCGTGGCCAGCTCTGCCTCTTCACCCTGAGTCAGCAGGGCGGAGCCCGCCTAGCCCCCTGTGGGTGTTCCGGAGGTGAAATGACCAGCCAGGGGACTGCCACTTATTATCTTCACCTCACAGGGAGGAAACCGAAGTTCTGAGAGGTTACGTGACTCAGGCCACGCGGCTGGTCGGTAAGGGGGTTAGGCCTCCACCAACTCTTCCACCTTTGGACGTGGGAAGTTTGCGTCACCTTTGCCTCACTCTTCTTGGTTGGCAAGGACCAGACTGGACACACATCTGGAAGACTGACTCAACACTTCCGATGAAGATGTATATATATATAAATATATTAAAATATATGCACATAGTTTATATAAATATTTATATAGTATGTGTATGTATTGTTATATATTTTACAATTACGTGTATTTATTTATATATATTACATATATATATATTATGTACGTATATAATCTAGGTTTGAAAAATCAGAAGAAGGATAGAGAGACTGATGATGACAGTGTTTGAATGACATGGAGACCCTTTCACTACTCGGAAGAGATGAACTCAGGGAAAATACAAGACAGGGTGATACACCCAGAGACTATGTTATCTCTAACAGGTTGTATTGTCTGGAAATGCAAAGTGTTTGCCTCAATGTGCCTACTATTCACAAAATAATTTAGACTTTTTGGAGAAGCTGAGCTATGAGGCCCTTCTGCCTATGTTTACCAGTTGGGTACGGATGATGTCCTGTACCTGGTAGACTTAATCCAAAGGTCCGCAGGCCACGATTAAACAGCAGCCTTGGCCAGCTCCTTTGAAGTCGTAAGTAGGTCAGGACACTTGTTTAAGGGCTAGCTGCATTGGGAAGAAGAATTAAGGGGCTAAAGGGAGTTTTCAGTGATTCTGGGGGGAAATGCTCACAACTGATGCTATAACCTGGGATGCAGTGAAATTTGGAGGGAGGCCTTGAGTTTTGGAGCTGCTGGCACACTCAGATTCCCACAGGGTCAGCAGGGTATGTCCATGCCCGAAGTGGCCCCCGATGGGGACAGTGGGAATGGGCAAGTTCATGCCGAGTGGACAGTGGTGGCCCAGCTCCAATTGGCTGTTGCCGGGCAGGAAGGTGGGCTCTGTGTTGCCAAGCCCAGATTGTTATGTGAAATCTCATGATTTTTAAGTGCTGACTTATTTAATTTTTAAAAACCGCTCCGAGGGTCAGTCAAAACTCTTCCAAGGCTGGCTCACTCCTGGCAGTGACTTTGTGAGGAAGAACTTCACAAGCTTCTGGACGGTTGTCTCCTTCAGAACTATTGTTTACAGCGGGCATGCTAAGGCTTTTAAACATTTTTAGTCGAATAGTATTTTCTTCAAATTGAAATTTCTCTGGAAAAAAAGCAGTGCTGCTTTGCTGGGAGTTAGGGGAACGTACTATATGGCTTCCCCTCCTTAGCCCCAGAAGGCTCCTTGAACATCACTGTTCTAGAACTTGAAACCAGGGCTCTTGAAATTTGGATTCCCCCTAAAAGCTGAAAGGGTGTGTGATCTCACACTTAGTGGTCCTGCCTCCTAGGGACCCTAAGAGGGTCTCCAAGGGCATCTGTATGCCCTCCAAGGGCATCTGTTTCTTGTTCTCACTCCCTCAGCAAAATGGGAATACTAGG